ATTTAAAATACTTCTTTCTTACATTTGACTGGGCATTCATTTCAATATATGGAAATTTGTACATAAAATAGCGTTTCTTTGTATACGATTTTCAGTTAGAGGAAATTGTTGGCTAAGTGACTGAGTTCAATGAAGGAAAAGTAATAAAAGCTGTTTGACGTTGATGTCGGCACGACGATCCAGAGAGAGCATTCACCCAAAAGTACGCAGCCAACATTTTCGATGGCAATGTTTTTTTTTATAATTTCCATCAACTGTCACCTTTAGGGATATGCCCTTCCAATAATTTGCAGAATTTTTGATTTAGTTAATAAGTCGTTCGGCTCGCTTTCGAAACATTTATTAAAGCAATTGCTAATAAATATTTTCTGCGACATTTCTAGAAAAATTTTAGATGCGTTGTTACAAAAAGCATTTCGCCTCGCTTCCAAGGGATTTATAAGGGGATTTTAGTACTTCCCACAACAGTCGGATATTCAGGATAATTCTGAATACTCCCGGTGAGTTTGTTTCTCCCGAGAAAGAAATACTCCAATAATTAACTCCCAGGGAGTAGCGTTTTCCCCGAAAATTTGGCAGAAGGAAATTCGAACTATGAAAGAGCTGTTTAACACATTTTTGACAGCTCAACTCATCATTTAAAATAAAAAATTCCTCAGAGAATTTTTATTCATGATAGGAGGAAAGGGAAAAGAGAGAAAACTCCCAGGGAGTTACTGTTCAGAATCGGCCTGATAGTAAATCCAAAATCTATATCTGTTCTAGGATTTTTTTTACTTCAGCAACATTTCCAAAAAAATATTTGAGGAACGTTTGTGGTGTTAGCAAAATAATGGTAGTTCTACACCTGATTTTTCTAACAATTCTATTCGGCGCTTTTAACAAACAGTTTTTAATTGATAAATAAAAATCCTCTGAGGGCCCTTTTCTCAATGTCCGACAAAATACATTTTAAAAGCTCCTCGATACATTTTGAAAGTGTTTTTTTTTAGTGTTTTTTATTTCTTAAATTTTCTTCTATTTACAACTTGGAAATTAAGTTTCGTATTTTTAATGAAATAAATAAAACGTTTCCCAAACATGAAACTTCACTTTACGCCCGTGCTTAAATTAAAAAATTTTTATTTTTTTTTTAAGAACAGAGTTACGCATTTTTCAAGCAATGTAAATATGATTGGATTAATTTTTGTATGAGAGAAAACGGTCTCATAAAACCAAAAAAAAAATTTTGAAAAATCAAAGGTATATTAGGGGCAACTTTAAACTCTCAACTTATTCTACTAAAATTCAGTGGGCTACAAAATTGCATACTCAAAATATGTCTAAAATATCTGATAAAAAATTTGGAAAATTTTCCAATTATTTATTGATGGAAATTTTATCTAATTTTCCACGTTTTGGTACAAAGTTTAGAATTTTATTTTTTTTTTGTTCTATGAAAAAATTTGTAATAAAAAGTAACAAACATTTTTTAACATGAAAAACTTTGTCAAATTTTAATTACGGACTGAGAACGCGTTCCGTTCCAGTTTTGGTTTACTTCTTCACGTTCTCACAAAAGAGCCAAATGAGAACAAAAGTATTGAGAGTAGTTTGATCTGGTACAAAATGAGAACCAAAGGTGCGGGAACATTTCTGTAAAGAACAAAATGCGAACAAAACTCTCGGCAACATTCTCAAGAAGAACAGAATGAGAACGAAAATTTCGGACACGTTCTCAATGAGAACAAAATGACAACGAATGTTTCGAGAACGTTTTCAAGGAAGACCAAAAATAAGAACGAAGGGGAACGCTAGAGAACAAAATTTTTGAGACGGGCGTATTCGTATCGGAATGAAAAATCGTTCCAGTGAGAACCACGATAGTTAATTCCAAGCAAGAGGAAATCGGAGTCATTTCAACTTCAAGATCGTTTATCATTAGGGTGAACTGTCCATTTATGCAACAACTTTTCATTTTCTGTGCAAGAAAAGTTCGTGTCTAAAGTCTTTCGTTGACTTGATTTGCATAATTATCCTTCAGTTTTTTTTTGATTAATTTTAATATTCAAACATTTTAAACTAATGTGAACTCTACGAGAAAAATTTTGCTTTCGCCACCATTCTTCGCGAATAGTTCAGAGAAGATTTGTTCCCGTTTCGTTCTCTGTCTGAAAGTCCTTGTGACTTTAGTTCCTAAATCGTGATTCGAGAGAAAGTTCCTTAGACTTTTGTCCCCATTTATTTATTTTCCAAAACGTTTGAGAGACTTTTGTTTCCATTTTGTTCTCTTGAAATGTTCCTGAAAGTATTGTTTGCACTTTGTTGTTTTTGGGAAAGTTCCACAGGGTTCTCGACAGTTTTGTTCCTATTTTGGTTTTGTTTTTGAAGCGTTCTTGGGAGCAAAACTGCGAGAAAGACATTTACCATTTCGAGCATACCTTTTGCTCTCGGCCACTGGATTTTAATAAGAGCAACAAGAAAAAGTATGGACTTTCAATTGAACTCAGTCATTTCATTTATATGTTAATATATACATATGTGTGTATGTGTGTGTCTTTTCTATGCATATTTATATTGTTAGCGTGCACGTATGTACGAGTACATACTTTTATATTTGGATTCTAATGTTACTAAAATATTTTACTAAACTATTGTAAGCGTATTCGAGAAATGATAGTGTGCATTTGAAATATATTATTTGTGTATGTTTGTATGTACTAAGTGCTGGAATGGTTGCTTAACTGTAATGTACTGTTAGTTTACAAGTTTAAAAGAAGAGTAACAAAATACAATGCCATTCAATAACTAAGCAAAATATTTTCATTTTCGTTGAAAGCAATTTTAGTTTAGGGCATTAAGTTAAGTTCTGATTTTTTGTTCAAATCTTTTATAGTATTCTAAATTGTAATATAATTAAAATAAGGTTCTCTGAAACCTAGTTTGTTGTTGTGATTTGTTACGATTAGGGAAATGTGAAGGCAGTTTATTAATCATAGAGTTAAAATGCCATTTACATGCGCCTCTTTTTGAAAGAATTCTTACCTATTTTCTATAAATCGCAAATAAAAACATGCTTACATTTGTGTGAACAAGAAAATATCCCTGCAGTGAAAAATTAACAACTGATAAAAATAATCAATTTGTAGTTAGCTTTTTTGCGTTATTTCGATAATTACCTCACTTTTAATTAGCTACAACCTGGGAACGTAACTGTTATGAGTTTTTTTAAAAAATTCGATGATATGTTTTCGATAAAAGATGAGATAATAATTAAAATTTGACTTTTATTTTTTTCGGTCAAAAATAACAGTTAAAATTTGACTTACATTTTTTTGATCAAAAATAAAAGTTAAATTTAGAAATTTTGAATTTTACATTTGATCGAAAATTTTTATTATTCAGCCTCATTGCGTATGCCGTAAATTAGGCTAAATTGTACGACTCGACAAAATTGGCATTGTCTACTGTCGTACTGAAATAAGTAAACGACGAAAATCGTCGAAAACTATACAGTGCTGCCAAGTTTATCTGTTTTAATACACTAGTCGAGTGGAAATTTTAGGCAATGACGTGAAATTTTCGATACGATTCGACTCTCGGCAAACGACTTGCATTCGACACGACTCTCGCAATGAGGGTGATTATTTTTGATTGGAAAACTAAAAGCCAGAAAAATTTTAACTTTTATTTTTGCTCGAAAATTTTAACTTTTATATTTGCTCGCAAAAATTAAAGTCAAATTTTAACTTTTATTTTTGATTTAAGAAATAAAAGCCAAACAAAATATACAGTCAAACTTTAACTTTGTATTTTGATCGGAAAATTAAATATCAAATTTTGAATTTTACATTTAATCGAAAAAATAAACGTAAAATTTTTATTTTTATTTTTGATTCGAAAAATAAAAGCCAAAGAAAATACACAGTGAAACTTTAACTTTTATTTTTGATAAAAAAAAATCAAACTTTTCTTTGTTGATCGAAAAAAATAAGATTCAAATTTTAACTGTTACTTTTGACTGATAAAATACCGGTCAAAAAACGATTAGTCGTTGACTTTATTGAAAAAAAAGCTAAGATTTAGAACAATTAAGATTAATATTCCTTAGCTTACAAGCGTCATACTGCTCTATTCAAATATTACATAGACAAATTCTTTCCGTCGGACTTCTTGATTGGAAATTTCAATAATAACTGTTCTGTTCGATCCCCGGCTATGAAAAAACCAATTTAAAGTGAGTTGTAAAGCCATGCAGGAGTTATGCTGCCGTAATCGGTAGTTGGTTTTCTTTAAAAAAGTTTCTACATACAAGAATTACTTTCGTAATTTTATAGTATCATTTTGATGTTATGACTGCTGGAATTCGAATGTCTGACCAGCTAAAGCAGAATTTGTAAACAAATATTTAAATAAGTAATGTTAATTAAAGTAAATAAATAAACGTGTACAAATTTTTAATGGCTGCTTTATGTCCAAAGCTAGTTAGTTACAAGTTAGTTGACACCCAATGCAGTGGTATCCAGGTCTTCAGCTTTTTCTCGAACAAAATATGCAGTAAATAGTCAGCAATAGTCAATTAAAGTTAGATTTAAGCTAACATCACTTGCTGCAGGGATATGACAGTGAATTATAATAATACAACTAATTACACGCAGGCATACACAATAATTTAAATAAATAGTTACAAAAGCATACAAAATACACACCTATATAATCTAAATACATATAATAGTCACAATATAATTTTTTAAAAATCAAGCAAATAGTCGCCATGACTACTCCTCTCCCACATTCACCCATGCATTCATTAACAAAAAAAAAAAAAACACAACACACACATTCCATACCAAACATTCAACTAATTCTTAATTCAAAATTTAAACGTCACATTAAATGTGCGCAACTCCATGGGATTCAGCAATATCTCTGCAAACGAATTCAAACGCTTGCGTTCACCCTCACGCAGCATGCCAGTTAAACTTGTCGTTTCCAGTCGCGCAATGTGCAACCTATTGAAACCCAACTGGCCCAGGCCGCTCGCCGATGCATCACATACACGCGATATATCGATATTTTGCCCAACAGCACAATCGTAGCCCTGTCGCTGTAACACCATCAACGCTGACGCAGATGGAAAGAGCTGCAGTTGCTCCTCGGAGAGTGTACGCAAATTAAGCAAATGCACATCACATGGCAGCGCATCGCGNGCTGGTGCATCGAATGTCTCGACAAAGTATAAATTCGGTGGATAACGTAGCCCATTGGCAAGTTGATTGGCCAATAAACTGGGTATTTGGTAGGTGTTTTCATTTTTCGTTGGCATATCTTCAATGAGTACCCAAAATTTATGTCGTGTCAGTCGACTATCGACAATACCTTCACCCATGCCGCGATAATCATCGTACAGTGTACGGCGATCGAGCATCACTTCCAGCTGACCGGGCTCATAGGAGGCAGCTCCTTGCGCATGCGTGGTAAGTAAGGTGAAGCGTACGTGTGAGTCCTGTATGAAGGCGCCGCTTGTGATGGGGAAGTAGTTGCCCTCAATGCCAATTGCGGGTACTTTGATACGTCTGCAATGAAGAAATTATAAGTTTTTTGAGAAATTATATGAAGTAGATTAAAGGGGGCAAGTGAAGAGGTAGTTGGGGTCGTGTGAGGTGCTTTCAAAAGTCTATTTAGGTGTCGGGATCTAGTCTGGATAAGTTGTGGATCTCGCAAGGTAGCCAAAGCCAGGCTAGAGTTAATAAATGTGGACGTCGTTTATTGTCTGTCTGTACAACGTCAGTTCCGGTGGTTGTGTGGTCTATTACTAACAAATGTCTGTTCGGGCGTATTCCACAATAGCAGCCGAACGGAAATTGGCTGCTGAACATAAAATTATTTTTTTTTATTTTTTGTGATCTCGCTATGCATATGGTGTTCAGTCGACAGAAGGCATCCCGTTGCTGTCGGAAGTTCGGTGTTTTGACAGACCTGGACCTGCAACTTTGCCCACTACGTCCTACTACTCCCCTAGTAGCCATAGTGACGTCGCATAATTTAAAACCGGCCTGTCAATTACCCTTTATGTTGTCAACAACTTGTCCTTAACTTGACATTAAACCTCCCTCTGGTGAGTGAGGAAGCTTCGAAATGTTGAAGTTAATTCTTCTTGGCTTCGAAGTTTGATCCCGAAATGGTGCTGACGTCAGTCGACCACAAAGATAATTTGCCGTCCACTGATTTTGTTACACAGGGAGAGGGGATATCCCATTGATCTATAGTAGGAGTGACAAACGGTGTTGAAGGCTTTTGATAAGTTCAAGTGATGCACTTTATGGTAACCAGTTTGTATGTGAGGTACGGAAGTATTAAGTAAGTACCTTCACTTCTGTGGAAAAGAATTTATCCCCTTTATTGGCTGTTTTCTCGGGTTTCAATACTGGGACCAATCTCCCAGATTTGCATTAGTGAGGTATTTTACTCGAACTAGTTCGTTAGGACTAATGACTTTGGAAGCTTTTGCCTTCTCGTTGGCCACCTTTACTTTATCGCTGGTGAAAGTATGTGAGGCATACCAGGTTTTGGGAGGTTATGCAGCCTTCTAGCCACTCGAAGTTTGGTCTTGTCCACTGGAGCCCACAGTGTGAACTCTCAGCTAAAAATAGGTCCCGCACTTTGCAAGGTTGTTCAGTCTCCAGGTCACTCGATGTTTGGTCCTATCTACCAAAGGATGCGGTATAACTTTTGGTTGAAATAGCTCGTGGACTGATATAATTAAGCTTTGGAAATTCGCGAAAATTCCACAAGATTCAAAAAATTTTTATCCAAATTTTTAACTTTTTAATCAGAATTTTTTTTTCTGGGTATGCAGTAGTATGACCCATTCAACTTCAATACAATAACGTGCAAGGTACAAGTACCTCAAAATGCACGTTGATTTTGGAAAATTTTTATCTGACGTTGTTGTGCACTTTCTAGCAGATAAAAAAATTGTCTAAATACCCGCACAGACTTTGTATGGAAAAATATGCAAAAAACCCCCAACCAAAAAAAAACCTCGAAAACTAACGCTGATTTTGAGTGACTTCAAACTTTCATTTCATTTATAAAATGCGTGCTCAAATATTTTCTAAAAATTCTGACTAAAAATTATGCAATTTTGATGACAATATTTTGAAATTTGTTGAATTTTTCACAAAATTTTACGCTTTGATTTACTGGATTTATGTTATTGAATTACCTAAAATTTTATAAAATATAATTAAAAATCAAAAAATCGGATACACTTGAAAATATAAACATCTGAGTACCGTTCGTAATTTATTGCCCACATACTGTATATGTATATATTTTATTATTTCTACCAACTCACTTGTGATATTGGAAACCATTTTGATCGCTATAGAACACCGGCAATTCGGCCACAGTGTCCGCTTCCTTCAGCACATCGTCACGCTTCACCGTTATAATATTATCGACATCAGTGACGAAACGCATAAATAACTCTGTTTCGCGATTCTTCGGTGGTGGCTCAAAATCTATATCATTCTCAATATACACGGCTGCATCCAGGTGGGTATGCGTATTGAAAATGCGCACAGTATGCGCCAAGAATGGACCATAGATGACAGTAACATCGCTGGCGATGGGACCCGCAGAGATGATAATACGCACATCCTCGTACTGATCGAGCACATCCTTTTCAGCTTCATTCTGTTCAGGATCGGTCTTGAAAAGATAAGCGCCTGAATGAAATTGTGCGCTGCGATAGGCCGCAAATTTAATAGCGCATTGCATGGGACGTAGGACCTGCTCATTCTGGCCTTTGCGTGTGACTGTCTTAAGAAAGCCGCTCTTTTCATCGAAAAGTAAACGCATGAAATTGTTTTCGAGTTGAATATCACCTGCGGAAGTAGAATTAGTAAATTGACTTTACTTAAAAGTTTAAATTTCAAATGAATACCCTACCCGACGGTTTTGCTCTGATTACAAAGTCTGTGCTTGTATTTGGCGGCGCTGACGCTGCTGAGTTATCGGTACAACCATCACAATAAATCGTAGCCATTGTTGGTTGAGTGAAATGCTTTTCGTCCACCACCACAAGTGTGTAAGTAGCAAGTGTGAGCGCATCTAATTCGGCAATGAACATCACTTCATACTGACGACTGGAAACACGTATGCGTCCCATGCCGCTGTTGGCGCCCACACCACCGCCCAGCCCCATCTCATAGGCATCAGTTATATTCCAAACTGGGTTGATTTGCATCAAACGCATCTCTTCGCCGAGCTCATTCAACACTTTTACATTCGGCACAGGTGAGCGTAGCGTAATCACTTCCAAGCGTTTTTGTGCTAAGGCGTTAAAGATCACAAAGGATGCAGTGCCACCAGCATTCGAATTCAAATCATCAAACTCTTCAACAATACCATTGCCACTCAGCGGTATTGGCGTTTTACGTGGCAATTTACTGAAATTATCGCGTTCCAATTCGCTCAGCAGGAAATTGTGTCGCTCGCTGCCATCCTGCAAGAGCATTTCAATACTGGATTCTTGCATCTTCACCGCATCTTGTATGCTTTCGAACAAGCGCATGCCATAATCGCGCATCACTGCGGCCTTTGAAGTGCCCGTGATGGCATCATGATGCTGAAAGAGACCCAGATTGCGACGCGCATGTATCATCTTTTCGTAATTTTTTTCAAATATTTTTATAGCATTGACATGATGCTGCTGGCGGGCGGTATTGTAAGCGATGGTGAAGAGTATTTCGGCTGCGCGTAAATTGTGCTCCAAATCAGCGCTAAGTAGCTTATAGAATGGACGTGTGGTATAGTAACCAGACCAGTAGGCGGGGCGACCCTCTGAGAAGATATCCGAATAGACGAAGAAATCGCCCTTGAGCGTCGGGAAGGAGGTGCTGCGTCGGCGTATCTCATTGAAGTAGTCGCGAGGCGTGCCTGTGCGGGAGAAATTTAAAGCGGATGAGTATATGAGTCTTCTTTGAGCAGTTTTGTAAATATGCACAATAAATAAATACTTAAAAAAATGGAAAACGGCGTGAAAACCAGGTAGTTGTGAAATTTGATGTGTAACCATCTGTGTACAGCTTGGAAAAGTATTAGGCGATTCAGATATATGTATATACATAAATAGGTTATATTAGAAATTAAATTTGTATTGATTTCATATCATTTTATTCATTTTGTTGGGACCAGTATGCGTAACTAGTTTTAAACTATACTCAAATCAGTCCCAGCAATGTCCTAAAGTTGGTATAAAAAACCCGTGAACTTGTGACGAAATGATCCCGAGCATGTCTTGAAACGATCCCGAAATGGTCCCTTACTAGCCCCAAAATGATCCCGAACTAGACCCGAAATGTTCATGAAATAGTCCTAACTCGTTCGGAAATGGTACTGAAATAATTCTGAACCAGTCCTGAACTAGACCCGAAATATACCTGAAATAGTAGTGCACTAGTCCCGAAAGGTCCTGAGCTTGTTCCCGAATGATGCCAAGAAAGTCCTGAAATGGTCCCAAAACAGTCCCTTGTTAGTCCAAAATCATCCCAAACTAAACCCAAAACTATGGCCATGATGATAGTCCTGAAATCTTTGGAAATAGTCCTGAACTAGACTCACAATGGCTCTGAAATAGTTTTTAACTTGTTCCGAAAGAGTCCTGAACAGATCCTGAAATGATCCCAAACAAGGCCCGAAATAGTCCTAAACTAGTAGATACAGAAATGTTTATTTTTGCACACAAAAAGCAGTTACATATTTTCTGTTGGGTTAACAGAAATTTTTACCCATCCA